GAGAAGAGATGCAATACAAAGTTGGTGTGTCGGGCGTAAGTATTTTGACGACAAATACGTCGATTTTCAGGGCGGGGAAAGGAGGGGCTCGTTGCTGTTTGTGGGTGCTCGGGCAGGTCAGGTCAAGCAGGCACGCAGGTGCTCCCTCGATCCTTCCTTCCACCTCTGTGTGTGCTATGCAAACCCAGTACCGTCAAGTACCTTTGGTGGAGAATTTTGTGCATACGTCGCATCGCTTAAAACCGCCTTGCGCATATCCGTAGGGTGCTGGGCTATTGTTCGCGTGTCGCGCCAGCCACGGCCCACGTCTCTCTCTCATTAATACCGTGACACCTTGGCTGAGGTGTTTTTATGCAACCTTGAGTGAAAATATGAAGTAGTGCCGCTTTATGCTTGGCGGGTCGCTTGCTCAAATCTTGTCTTGAGCTGGCTGTACTGTAGGTGTGAGGCAATGACGATAATTGGCCCATACCTGAGGTGCTTTGAATAAGTTGCCAAGGTACCTGAGTGACTGTCTCAAGCTCAAGACTGTCTCATGGTGAACAACTAGAACCTTGTGCCGAGCTCTGAGCTCTACGGATACCAGCACACCCAAGGACGCATCTACATCTACACGTCTGAAGAGCAAACACGCAATGGGACTGAGAACTCAGGGCAACCTTCCCTTGTGCCTTCCTCCGAGCTTGAAGCTGCTTCCGGCAAAAGCTCGGCCCGTACCGACACGACAGGCACACCAGATGGCATGCCCTCTTTCCTTTTCTGGAGGAGCGAATGGCCTCACGCTGGCTTCTGTCTAGGAACCTAAGGCACGCTGGGCACACACCGCTATATCTAGCGCAAGAAGATGCATTTTCCATCATGAGAATGGCGCTTATCGCGCAAATGGACGTGCCAGATTTTAGGCCCCATCTCCGCCACAATAGTCAACCCGTAAATCATTTGCATCTTCCCAGCTGCTAGGCTTAATTGCAAGATCAAATCAGAAGAAGTGACTATCTTAGCCCTCACATACGCCATCATGTCATCAGCCGCATCCTGCAATACGTCAAAGCCATTGGTGGCTACTTGCAGCGGTGCGATTCAACATGCTGAGGTTCAGGAACGCGGTCACGTCCTGAAGCACGAGTGAGGACGTTAGATGTAGCTCTACGGCTGATTTATGCGGCAAGATACTTTGCTCGCTCGGTACCTGAACTGGGAAATTTTCCAGGTTGCGATTGGCGCTGGCCTGAACTCCCCTGGGCGCCGCATTGGTCAGTCTGTGCTAACAGTACGAAGTCTCCCTGTCATTCAAGACAGACCATTCCCAGGCAAAACACCAACATGATACATCAGATGCGTTAGCCACATCCGCGCCAGCCTTTCCCGGTACAACACCAACACGCTGCGCAGGAGAGAGAGGCTGCGACAGACGTAGCAGAATCCACCTCTCATCCCCAAGTGAACTTTGGAGCCATCGTCAATTGGCATCCGCCACGACACGCGCCCAATACGAACCCAGGCCCGATCGCGCGTCTTCCCTTCGACGTCTCGGCAGTCGCATCGCTGCGGCGATTCGGGACCCTGCACATATCTTCATCATGGCCGCGCCGCCATCCACGTCCACGCCTACTGCGGCTGGCGCGACAGCCTCGTCCTCGGCATCAACCTCCGCGTCCGCTGCCAACGATCACGATGGCACTCCTCGCTCCGCCGCTGCCAAGGCTCTCCCCGTACGAGACAAGGACTCCTTCAACAAGTTGCAGGTAGAGCGCTACGTGACGCGCGACTGGCACTACTCTGTCGCGATGAAGGACGCTCAGGAACGGTTCGAGAAGGATATGCAACAGACGAGAGACAAGATTGATGACTACAACCTCATCAAAACCCAACGCCTATATTTTCCTCCGAGCAAACTGTACGGCGAAGGATATCGTGGCTACGGCAACGGCTATACCGACATCGATCCCCGCATGCGAGCGCCCTTTCCTGCCCAAGTCATCTATCCGAGCCAGAAGCCGCGGCCGGGGAAGCGCCAGTCGCATCCGCTCAGGTGGAAAAAGAGAGAGTTGAAGAAGCAGGCGGAGCAACATGAGGAGCTCGTGCCGATACGCATAGACGTTGACTGGGAAAAGATAAAGCTTCGCGACACCTTCACATGGAACCTCCACGACAGGGTTATTCCAGGCGAGCTCTTTGCGCAGCACCTTGTTGAGGATCTGGGCATCCCTCTAGACGCACAGCACAAACCCGTCTTGGATCAGGTCACGTTACAAATGCGCGACCAGCTCAACGACTTCTACCCCCTAGTCTTCTCCGAAGAAGACGCGCTCGACCCGGAGCTGCCATATTCTGCTTATAAGAATGACGAGATGAGGATATTGATCAAGCTCAACGTTACCATTGGCGGCGTGACCTTGGTCGACCAGTTTGAGTGGGATATCAACAATCCACTCAACTCCCCAGAGGAATTTGCCGCCTCAATGACTCGCGACATGTCACTGTCCGGCGAGTTCACCACCGCAATTGCTCACTGCATTCGGGAGCAGTGCCAACTCTTCACTCGGAGTCTGTACAGCGTTGGACATCCCTTCGACGGCAGACCGGTCGAAGACCCCGATCTCATTGCCGCCTTCCTGCCGTCTCCGCTGCCATCCGTATTCAGACCGCAGCAGCAGGCGAAGGAGTATGCGCCGTATCTTTACGAGCTCAGTGATGCCGACTTGGAACGCAATGAGGTCATCTTCTCTCGGGAACAGAGACGGCAGAAGCGATCTATTAACCGACGTGGTGGCCCTCAACTGCCGGACCTCAAGGAACGGCAGCGGACAATCAGGACGCTCCTCGTCTCGTCCGTGCTTCCAGGTGCTGCGCCTAATATGGAAGAGAGCACGTTGTACAAGCGTGTGGCCGGCGCGCCACCCACCACCCGGAAGAGGCCAGGAGCACGCGATGGCGAGGTTTCCGATTCCGACGATAGTGAAGACTCAGGACCGGACTCGCCAGGCGTGTCTCAGCTTGGCGGCACGGCCAGGACGAGAGGTCTTCGGGGCGCCGCGAGTGCTGCTCAGCAACGCATCACGAATATCGGCCGCTCCGAAACGCCTGAAGCGAGCATCGTCCATCATCACGAGACTCGCAGAAACCTTGGCCGCTCCCTTCGCGATACTCGCGATGAGACTGAAGAGCCTACACAACTTATTGTCACACTGAAGGTTGGCAAGGACAAGCTGAGGAGACTTCTCCAGAACCCAAGAGCGAGGTTCACTCCGAGTGGCTCTCAGACACCGTCAACACCCGCACACACTCGCATACCTAGCGCGGCCGCGGCTGCAGCAACCTCCATGCCTCCGCCGTCTACGCCGGCCTCGAATGGCCAGGCTCTTCCTGCTCAACTTGGCACTCCTCTGCCTCAAGGCCAGATTGGTCGACAACCTGCTCCGCCGCCTGTTGCCGGTCAACCGCCACCACCTGCTGTAAGTCATGGGTATCTTGGACTTCAACTAGGAAAGGAAACTGACATGCTTGATAGCCCCCGCCGCCAGAATGGCTAAAGAACTGTTTGCAGCAACTAAAGCAAACGTACACCTTTGATAACTTTGAGGGCATGATGAAGTACTCAGCCATCAATCCTGACACAGAGATGCCGATATCAGTACCAGCAGGGTCACAGCCTCCCGAAGGCGCCAGATGGATGTTCCTCCCCCGTATCCGTTGTCTTGACTGCCCAGGCAAGCTGTACACACCTGGGCCGGAAATGACGGCAGGCAACTTCGAGGTTCACTTGCGCAATAAGCAACATCGTCAAAAGGTGGATGCTAGAGAAGGCAGAGACACGTCAGCTGGAACGACTTAAGGCGATTACATTCCGGCGTGGAGCCCTGAGCGGTATCTATGCCGAGCAATGTCAAGGCTCGAGTCGAGCTTTCTGGAAGGTGCAGCCATTTCTACCTGGAGTTATTGGCATCGGCACCGAGTCAACAATTTGAGGATGACCCCGTCACGGCATTACACTCGGATAGCAAGCCTGACTGCTGGTCATCATTCCCAGCACCTGGGAGGTCCTCAAAATATAAGGCAACCTTGAACTAAGGACGATGGCGTTGCCAAATCAGCACACTCGGTATTGTACAAGAGACCAGTCCATTTCCATTTCGTCAATGGGTTGTAGAAGAAAAAAGAAGCGATATCATTATCACTAGCGGTGGAATGGATAGATGGGAACAAGGAGAGGTCAGAACGCGTTTCTTGCCGATTTTACAGATTTAGGAGTTCAGACTTTGCTCGTGAGGCAGGGTCGGAATGGCCGGAGTTCCAATTGGAAGTGTTTTATTAGGATACGACTTGGAAGAGAGAGAAGACGAAGACGAGCTTCAAAGGCAAGGCTATTGTGGGGAGGTGTGACAGCAGTGAAAGAGGTCAGCAATAGTGACCTTGGTACACAACCTTACTGGACAAGGGCTTCAGAGTCTCCTGGTAGTAAGAGTAATACCACAAGAAAGCTTCAAATGTCTACGTTTCCTCGCTTCTCAGTTACGTGTGTATGGATCAAAATCATGGACAGACACCGACACATGGAAGGGGGTTCACCGACGGTGTGGGCCTTGCTCATCCACCTTGATGAGAGTACGTCACAAATCTAGGAGGCTGATCAAACTTTACTATTAAATGACTGGCTGTTTGCTAAGGCTAAATGATGTACGCAAAGGTACGTATTTCCCAGTGGCCTTTAGCCATTTCAACTACCAACAGGTGCCCATAATAGCCCGGATCGTTGGGATACATTCGTCCTCCGAGTGATTTCTTGGGGGACTCGACGACTTCAGCCAGTGTAACGAACAAACTACTAAATCAAACTTTTCCACCCAACGACATAGGAACACAAGAGAAATCATACGTCTCTTCAGTGAGGCGTTTTAGCCCCCCCCCCCCCCTGCGAAAGAAACTGAGCTGAACATTGGTTGTCGTCCAAGTTCTTCATCTTCCGAAGGAGGCCCGAGAGAAAGACATCAGCCCCGTACTTAGATGTGATCGGGGAGGACCTTCGGCGGATTCGGCGTCGGGTGATCCTCTACGGGCTCTTCCTCGAAGTGGGGGTGATCGGGGTGGTAGGGGTGCTTCGCCATCGCCTCCTCCTTCTCCTTCTTCTTCTTCTCCTCCTCCTCCTTCTCCTTGTCGTGCTCGTCGTGGTGGGGGTGGGCGTGGTGGCCGCCGTGAGGGTGGTCGTGGTGTTGCATCTCCTCGTCCTCTTTGGACTTCTTGGACTTGGTGTCCTTGGCCTTGGGCTCGTCGGCCTTGGGCTGGTCGGGCTTGGGTTGCTCAGCCTTGGGTTGATCGGGCTTGGGCTGCTCACCCGCGGGCTCCTTGCCCTTGGGTTCCTTAGCCGCGGGCTGCTCGACCGCGATCGCCTTTTCCTTTCCCTTGGGCTCCTTAGCCGCGGGTGGCTCATCCTCTACCTTGGGTTTCTGGTACTCAACCTTGGGCTTCGGCTGCTCGACCTTGGGCTGCTCGACCTTGGGCTGCTCGACCTTGGGTTGCTCGACCTTGGGCTTCTCAACCTTGGGCTGGGTAGCAACGGGCCCCTTAGCCGCGGGCTCCTTGCCGAGATGCTTGCGGAAGGGGTGAGGCACGAGAGGGCGGGCAAGGCGACCGAACTTGGGGGGCCAAAGAAGGGAAGAGGAAGCCTCGGAGTTCTCCTCGGGGGCATGCACCAAAAAAAAGCCGCTCTCGCCGAGCTTGAAGCCCAGCTCCATGAGCTGCTCGTCGGTGAATCCGAGGCTCTCCTTGAGGATGTCCGCCATCTTGGCCGTGTTGACGCGGATCTCGTCTTCGGTCGCGGGATCCTCGCTGACGGGATCCTCCTCCTTCGATGCAGCGGCGTCGACGTTGGCTGTGGGCGTCGCGGTCGGGGCAGGGCTGCCCTTCTTCTCAAAGTCGGCGACCAAGAATTTCTTGCGGCCGAGGGTCCTGTCCATGGACTCCTCGATCCAGCCGGCCTTGGACGGGTTGATCTTGTACTCGTCGAGGTAGAAGCGGACGCAGTAGCCAATGGCGCCGGCGTATTCGTCCGGGCTCTCGTACCAGCCTGGTGCGCGGCGCTTCTCGGCGTTGTACTCCGTGCACCACGCCCTGCGGCGGGCGATCATGGCCTCGGTCGGGCCGGAGCCGGAGTACGGCATGGGCGGGGCGACGGGGGCGGTGATGGTCGCGGCGGCGGTGGCGGGCTCCGTGCTGGTCGTGGTGATGGTGGTGAAGGAGGAGGCGCTGACCAGGGCGAGGGTGCCCGTGGCGGCGAGGAGGGTCTTGGCGGCGACCATGTTGTTGTGGTCGATGTGAATAATCTTGAATTAGAGAGTAGCGTTAGTATCTGGGTTACAAGTGTAAGGCATGCTGTGATGTATACACACCTAGAGCAGATGGGTACAGAGACCTAAGTATTGATGTTTTCGATGTAAGGTCAGGTATCTTAAGTCAGTTGGTAGTGTTAGTGTGACTGGCTTATGAGTGTGAGGTAGTCCGTGATGTATGCTTACCTAGCTGATTGGTATAGAGACCTAGCGAGCTGATGGTTGTAGAGGAAGAAAGAGAGACAGACCAGATAGAATCAGAAGAGCGGATTTTATACACATCCCCACGCAGAGGTCGCAGAGGTTCCTATTCCTGCTTCTTCATCTACGGCGCCATATGCCGCTGTTGAGCCTTGAACAAGTCCTATGAAAAAGTTAATATTCGCCTCTACACGTTTACACAAGGTGGTCTAATGGGTATCATAGTTGCCGGCTGGAGGACATCGGTAGAGACGGGGGTTCTCTTGTGGTTAAGAACCACTCCGACCTAGACGCCAAAGTCAGAGTAAGCTCATAAACTTGCCAGCGTTATCATCATTTTCATGTGGAGGAGAAAGCTTGAGAGTGTACATCCGGAAAGTTTACGGTGATCCTCCTGATGCTTCACGTATTGAGCGACGTAGGTTCAAACCCGAGCCGCATCGTCCATACATATCCGTTAGTCTACCTCAGCATACAGAAGAAGCGCCTTTAAAGTCACGAGATAGCGAGCCATGACTGGACAGTGTGTTTGCACTCAAGATGTTACGCGATATCAATGCTTCACTGAGCTCTACCGCGTCTGCCCCACATGAGCTCTCTCAAGCTCCCATCCGGGGCTGTGGTTCTCGAAGAACCGGCTAGTACCAAAACTCTCCCACCACTTGCCGTGTGTGTACGCGCGACAGATATCAGTCTTGGTCTGCCTCCGAATGTGACCCTTGCGGCGCGTCTTGGGACGCAACCCTACTCACCTGCCTCCGAACGCCAGACTTGGCGACGGGACAAAAGGCGACTCGAGCGGCACATGATGCAGAACAAGCTTTCCTTGGCTGATGGTGGCTTTTGATAAACGTGGTCACTTTAGGAATCTCAAGGTCATCTACACCCGTAGAGTTGCAGACTTTCACGCCACGATATCATGCAGGTCTTTTTTTCTTTGCAAACACTGCTTCAACATGGGCCGTGAACACGTCAAAAGAGTGCTTCTCAATCAAGGTTTCTCGTCAGACCAGCATGCCCTAACAACAGAATAACGTAATCCCCTTTTTTTGTCCCATGTTCATGTTCGTGTGGGGGTGCGTAGGCTTTAAACTCCATACAGGCTAAATCTCCCGTGCATTCAGATTTCCCCAAATCAACGTCTACAGCTTATACGATGGGATCGGAGGGTGCTGTCCGAACAAATGCGACGTAGATAAACAAGCTTCCCCCTTCACCCCCTTGAACATCCCTGGCTAGACGGTCCGTCCGGAGTGTGTTTATATTACTCGTGACCTATTCGTGCCTGAAGCATTACCCCCTTTGTTTGCTATAGTTCGCCGACCTACTATATTCGATGTCGTGATATTTCCCCCGTCCCGGGTTGCCGTATAGGGCTCAGTCTGTGAATGATATAAAAGTGGTCAGCCTGTCCGGCGACTTTTGGGATAATTTTGGTATCGCCCGCCAAGCATAACTCGTTCCAAAATCCCCTCAACCAAGTCCAACCGCCCAAGATGAAGGTCACCGCCCTCCTCACTCTCGTGCCCCTAACCTCCGCCAAAATCCTCTGGGACGGCCGCTTCAACGACTTCAACACCTCGTCCGACCTCAACAAGTGGTCCTGGTCCAACCAAGTCGGGCCCTACCAGTACTACATCCACGGGTCCGGCGACGTGACCAAATACGTGAACCTCTCGCCGTCCTACAAGAACCCAGCCGACACGGCGTCGAAGCAAGGCGTCAAGATCACGCTCGACAGCACGGCCTACTGGAACGGGCAGAACATGCGGCGCACCGAGCTCATACCGCAGACTAAAGCCGCCATCAATTCGGGCAAGGTGTGGTACCACTTCAGCATCTCGCGCAAGGACACCAACGCGCCGAGCATCTTTCGCGAGCACCAGATTGCGTTTTTCGAGAGCCACTTCACCGAGCTCAAGAGCGGGTGGATCAGTGGCGAGTCGGCGACGAATAACACGAACCTGCAGTTCATGGTGCAGCAGAAGAGTTTGTGGAAGACGGAGTGGAAGCCGGATGTGTGGCACAATGTCGCCTATGAGATTGTGAGTTTGACTTTTAAGACCCTTTGTTTCTTGAGTATTGGGGAGGGAGGAAAGTTCCCCACGTCTCGAGTAGAAATATGAACTTATACAAATGTGTTATAGAACTTCTCCAGCGGAAGCGTCGGCTTCTGGCACTCTGAGGGCAGTGCCCCTCTGCAGCAGGTCGTGGCTCCCGTCTCGGCCTCGACGTCGTCCAACGGCGCGGACTGGCATCTGGGCGTTCTCGAGCTTCCCCGTGATGGATACGCCGACACCAATGAAGATTTCTACTTCTCTGGCGTCTATGTGGAGGACACCGCTATCACGACCTCTGTCACTGGACCTGGTGAGTCTACAGTGTGAGAAACCTTGTGAGTTGAGTGAAATTGACACGGATGTGAGCAGCCGCCTGAGAGAAATTTCATCTCACCAAGAGAGTAGGAGTAGGGTCAGGCTCAAGGGGAGGTCAGATAAGACGGCAACATCGTATACACTTCACCCATTCTTCAGTACATATCACTCGTTCACGTTCACGCATATAAGGTTGAAAAATCAGTATTCTTTGGTTTCCATGGCAATCTTCTTTCTAGAAACCAATTTAAGATCTGCTTCTTCGTAGCTTCTCCCGCCAAAACATCCGCCCACCTATGTTTCCAGACTAACTGTCTCGTGTACCCGTGGAGTTTAGAACGTGTGAAAGTCGTCGCTGTTGACTTCTTGCCTTCAGTAGGAAATCTTGCACGTCTTCGTCACCATAGTTGTCGGCACGGTAGTGTCGTTGTCAACAGCTGTAGGAGGCGCCTGGCAGGCTCCGAGAGAGGTACGTGTCATGCCAGGAATGGGACCGAGAGAAGGGTCGTAGCCAGTGACACCAGCCCAGTACATGCAATACTGGGTGTTGCTGTCACAATACTTGTACTCGTAGTTGACCGAGGGAGTAGGCGCCAAGGTGATGAGAATTTTGTTGATAGTATCGCGCTTTCGATTTCCAGCCTGGGTAGGAACGATGCTGCACTTGCCAATGGAGGTAACGGTCTCGCCAGGAATCGGGCCTTCAGTAGGATCCCAGCCAGTGATACCAGCCCAGTAGGCGCAAAGAGAGGTGCTATCCTGACACCATTCGTGGTTGCAATCAATAGTGGTAGTAGGGATCGCCGAACTCGTGGGGACGGAGCCTGCTCTGACGTTGTCCTTGATGGGGGAGACGACGAGGGTGCCTTGGGACAACAAGGATCTCAAATGAGTGGCCCTGGAAGCGGTTCCAGTGAGAGTTATGAAGTCGGTCTGGGATGTGGCGATAGACTGAGTAGAAGTAGCGTGACTGGCAACGTAATTGTCGTGGATGCCAGCTACAATACCGGCGCCGGCCAGCAAGAGCACCGTGGAAACGGTGAGGAAGATGATAAAGTCACGCATAGTGAATATTGAGGCGACTGCGTTGGACTTGGTGAAGAAAGCTAGTCGTTTGGTCAGTGTGTGTTGCGTTTAGAGCTGGCTTTTGTACTTTCACCTGGGGCTTACCGAGAATGAACGAAGTGTAGAGAATGACAGTTCGACTCGTCTTTCTAAGCTGAGACTTGGTCTATGATGAAAGAATGGCCGAAAAGAGTGAAGTTGACTTATCGCGAGTTGACTGCCGCAGAAGGATCGGAAAAGACGTTGGTGATGGTGGTGTGTGAAACAGGGTTCAAACGACAAAGTCAGCGCAGCGCAAGGTCTTTAACCTCCTGCTGAAATCGAATCAAAATGTTTACTATTGAAGAAAAGAACACTGCAGGTGTAAGTGTGTTGAAACGGAAAGAAGTTGAGTTGATAAGGCAGTTTCAGACTCATGAATGAGCTTCGCAGTTGCCTCGTTCTTCTATCTTAGATGCAGTATTTTCTCACAGAAGGAGTAGTTGAGTTATGTAGAACAGAAGGAGCCCATTCTGAGACCGATTCTGCCGTGAGAGTGCCGTCTCACGAGACGGGAGGCTGTGATACGGAATTGTGATACTTCCGCCACTGTTGGACCAACATTCTGAAGTTCAAAGAAGCTTAGCTTTTAAATGTTAGGGCTGACGATGAGGCTTTCCAGAATCGTTCCACTATGGGATTGGTGTAAGGTGACCTCAACCCACGATTTCTAGTCATGCTAGCTTCGTACGAGCTCAGAATGAACTGAACCATTTCCCTTCCGGATGGACATCGTCACGATATCTGTCACTTTCACAGGTGGCTTACTGCTGTCTCTGACCATGGACGACGATGGCGCTGGATCGTGCGTCCCGAAAGAAGCCCGTCAACTTGAAGAACAAGCTTTGTGCGCCCGCCAAAGGCCGTTTGCTTCCCGCTTTTCATTATGCAACATTGACGCTGATTAAGGACAGGCTCATACAAATAACATTTTACTGCACGTGAACATGCAACGTATGACACTGGTGAAGCTGCTTGAATTGGCGAAGAGAAAAGTTTCATTAAACGCGGCAAAGGTTGTACCATGCGCCGCTGAGAGCTATTGACATCAAATAGCCCGGCTTAGGAAGACGCCAACTGCGTAGCTGCCTTAGCATACAACGTAACGGTGATGGCGATGCTGGCAAGCCAAGCGAGACTTCGCAGGGGGCTGAAGCTACGGTTGTCCTGCAGGCGGACGTAGATGATGTTGTACAGGGCCCTGGAGGCGATGTAGCCCAGTGTCAAGACGTTAACGGTCTCGGCGTCTACCCTGGCGAAGTTGGCGGCGACCACGGCGGCAGAGTAGAAGCCGAGCGTCTCAAAGGCGTTCTCCGATGCGGCCTTGGCGCGGAGAATGCGGGCTTTGGCCTAGAGATTTCGCAGCCTCGTGTAAGATGATGGGCTACAGTATCTGGGGAGGAGGGCAAGGTTCCCTCTGAAAGGAAGGGTTGCTGTTCTTACAATCTTGTCTAGCTTGTCATCGGCCACGACACTAGTTTGGAGCTTTCTCGGGTTGCAGAGGTCGTAGTGTGCTCCTGCTCCGGAGACGGCGTAGACATTGGGCAGCATCGCCATGATAAAGGCGGCCGGAATCTGGACGCGAGGTTTAGCCTGATGGTCAAGCTACATCGCTTATGGATACTTTACTGACAGTGTAAAGGGAGAGCCCCTTTTGGGCGAGGTCCAGACCGAAGAAAGACATGTTGGCGGCGGTGTTTGAATGTCACGTTGAGTGATGTTGGATGAGTTGGTTCACACAATGTTTTCACTTGGACGGTGAGGAGGCACGGAGGGTAGTTGTATGACTACACTAAGGCACGGAGTTGACCCTTTCAAGATCGGAAGGACGGCGCGAGTTAGAGCCCGACGGGACATCTAAAGAGAGATACGAACTCGGTGAGGAGGGGGTTGCGCCGAGGCAGTCCGGTCGCACGGGTTGCTCCGAGTTGGGAAACCAGTACGGCACGGTTAGTATGGGGGCCTAAAGGGACAGCTACCTGTGAGAGCTACGCACAATAGTCTTCCCGCACTTAGTTGACAAGAGACGGGGCCGCGGGAACGCTGCCCACATTGGGACCTGGTTTGGCCGAGTGGTGATGACAGACTTACAACAATAATTCGCATCGTCGAACGGGGACTGCAACATTCGATTGGCCAGCTACAATTTCCCCCCTCTACCCCTGTTGAAAGGCAAGGGCGAACTCGTGGAGTGGGAATCGTGATGTCACCCGAATCGGCATTTCATAGGCACCGACCAATCCGATGCTGTTTTCTTGCATAACTTTGCAGGATTTAACGTTGTGTAAGAAACAAAAAAGCCGGGCCTGTCATTGGGCCGCTGGGGGACGGAATAGCATCAAGCAAACCAGACACAAAACTTCCCGCTGCGGATTTCTTTTCACCGGGCTGTGTGTTTGGGTGATTTGGTGCGCCCACACATGTTTTGATTTCAGCCTCCATGTTCAACGTGATAAGGAATGAACATCGCTTAACTCATTGTCGTTGAATCTCTCTCTTTAATTATTTCTCTCTGCGTGTTGTTTCCGATACCTGCGGGGGAAGCTCAAACAAGCTACCGACGTCCGTTTCGTTTCTCTTTTCAGAGTTCTCTTCTGAGAGAATGCGATGTCTTGGCAGACGCACAATCTGGAACCTGCAAATTCAACCTTCCGGAACGGATCAACTACGCCCTCTCACAATCGAATCTTTGGCAGCCTATGAGATGAGCCTCTCACCCAGAGTGTTCGCCAGACTCACGGCAATCACTTTTTATGAAAAGCCTCTCAAAGAGCATGATTACCTGCTCATTTGAATACCTTCTCAATATCACCAGATACAACCTGCGCTCGATGGCTGCACTGAACTGATGATAAGTCACTCATCGACGAACAATGAGAGTGAAGGTCTTACTGAGAGTGCACGAGCGCCATACCCAAAGCATGTCGCATTCAACGAGCCAAGCAGTTCGATGAAGTGCAGGATGAGTATTAGCTGACTGTCTTATGAGAGGCACTTTGTGGCACACGAACGACTAACAAACATGAATTGTACGTTCCCGAATGAGAGAACCTTTTCCAGTGGCTGACTTTTCCTCTTCCAGCGCGGCAACTCGGAGGTATGCGACTGACTCGAAACTCACGAACCTTTTTTAGCAGAGCTTGCCCCGCGACTCCGCGACGAGACTATTGAATTCGGGTGTGCGCTGGGCTTTGGAGTTTTTGGGACGAGCACTCACAAAGCGTCCATGGGCCCCGACTCATGCCTCAGGTCTTATCCTGGTTGCCCGACTTCAAGATTGTCGGGCAACGGTCATCAGAAAGTTGCTTTGCTCGCCAACGTTCATCGAATCAAGTGATTCTGGAGTCGAAAATTTCGTCTCATTAAGGGCCAGGTGCGATAGGGTGTTCATCTCTATGGTCCTCAAGTGAGGTTGGAAGATGAGAATTGTCATCATTTACACTGCACCGGCGTCTTCTCACGGCCTGTTGGTGCTGCGATCGACAGCGATGACGATCTCCCAAAGGCAGAAAAAACGAAATCTTCCACCACTACCCAGCCTGACAGCTTTCCAGCAAAGAAAGTCGCATTGCTGGAAGCGAGCCTCGCAGGCAAAGGGCCCCGAGGCTGGAAACATCAAGAGTGGGCTCTTCATGCCTGCGACCAGGTAAGAGGCGATGGCAGAAGAGAGAAAAAAATAAAGCTCCAAGAGTCCAAGCCCGGGCATCCTGGGTTTCTGGGACTTCCAGCATCCAAGCAAACAGCAAGCGCAAGACGCTTGCGCCGGTGGAATGTGACCACAGCAGGGATGCTGATGAGATTGGATGCCAGACGGACCACACACAACGTGGGAGAATTTGGGTTGGTCTAGACGAAAACAGCATGGCGGCAAGAATATGCACACACTCACTCACTGACTGATTCATCGAGCGGAATATGTCGCCAGCCAGCAGCGGCAGAGCAGACTTAACTGGTAGCAGCACACTTTGGCCTGTTCAGCGGTGTTCCATCTGGTTCTGATTTCAACCAGCGGCAATCCAATGTGCATATTGCTAGGTATTGCAGCAGAATGGGTGGGAGGGAGCCTGGGGAAGTTTCTGAGACTCGAAGGTACTTACTTACAAGCGCCTTATCACTTATGCAGCCACTCACCACCTTAGGTCCTAACGTATGAGAGCGAGAGAGACACCTGTCCCCAGCGACATTGAAAGACCTCATCATCTTTTGATGTGCGGACGAGCAAAGGGCGGGTGCAATGCGCCGGCGCTAGAAAAGGGAAAAAAAAAAGCACTGAACACTTCAGGTCGTCCCCAGGTCTCCAAGTTACCCCCAACAGACAGACCCGATGGGCAGACACATCCATCAAATTGCTGCAAGGAAGCGTTGCTGCGTAGCCTGAGTGCGCCGCAAAAAGTTGGAGGGTCCGGTCCAGGCGTCCCCATTGGAGAGACTATCTGGCGTGAGAGATTACCGCACTGTACCATCTCCTTTTTGCCTCCCCCGGTCTTTCATCTTCGCACCGCCCATTCCCCTCGGCTTTCTGTTAAAGCCGGATCCATGGCCTCCTCCCAGGCACAGTGTCCAGATTCTCCGATAACAAATAATTTTTCCCGGGGTGTCTATCAACCCCCCCAATCTAGCAACTGCCCATCAGCCTGTGACTTCCAGAATCACCACCCGTCCAGCGGCGCCCGTAGACCGACAATTTTCTGGTCGACCATCCACGACGGAATTCAATCGCGATCAATTGCCACCACGCACCACCACCACTTTCATCACTTTTGATCGTCGATTTCATCTCCCCAACGCGAGGAAATCATTGTCGACATTCCGTTTTTGCCCAAAACGGATGTCGCGGCAGCTCATGACATGACTGAGGTCGGGCCTGCCGACCGCTCCAGGCTTTTGCGATCCAAACGCGATGAATTTAGGTCAGTTACTGCATCGATCGGTAGAGCTTAATTGTGCGATTCCAACGATATAATTTTCGGCGTGTTGACATTTTTTAGTTCAATTGTAACGTCGAGGAAGCGGAAGCTCCGTCAGCTCTTCGCTGTCGCGACCGAGGGCGATGCACTCCCCACAAACGACTTCGCGAATCCCGACGCGCCGCCAGCCACCGCAGCCGAAATCCAGTTCTTGCAAGGCTGCGATATCTCGCAGTACGTTTCCCTGTTCTTCTCGCGCTTTTTTGAATATTTTTGGTCGCGTATGGCTCTGGTTGTTGCCGCTCGCCGCTTACACGACTTACAGAGGACGAAAGCTCAATGAAGCGAATCTTCCTGCTCGACCTCAACTGCGCTACGATGTCCTAAGACAGTCCCTCGATAACTCTGGCCTCTTTGCACCCGAGCCAGCGCCTGCTCCTCTCGCAAAGCAAGACGCTTCCCTCCCCGAGCCCCAAACGAAGAGCGCTCCTGCGCCGTCGCCAAAGCCGGCTGCAGCTGCATCTAGCGATCCGAATGGCGCTGCATCTTCACCTCGAACACCTGCGATCTTTACCCTTCCGCCCTCACTTCCACCAAAGCCCCCGACGCCTGTGCCTGCTGCGGCGACGCCGAATCGACCCGATGCTTCCAAGCCGCCCACGTTGGCTGCCTCAGGTCCGCCGCCGCCATCACCTGTAGTCGTGCCCACGAAGAATCCTTTGCACGCATCGCGACAAGATGCTACTGAGACAACAGGTGCTGCACTTGTCGAAAAGCCCGCCCCAACACCCCTGCGAGAAAACCCGAATGGCATCCCGAAGAAGACCGAACCACGAAAGGGCGATGCGCCAAATGATGCGCCTACGCAATCCGTTGTGAAGCCACCCGTCGCCCAGCTTCCCGCTCGTCCAGACTTGAAGAAGGCCGAGGATACGACCCCTGTGGCTTCCAAACCTTCAGCCGACTCAGCAAAGGTATTCGACGGAGCTTCATCGCCAGGCTCAACGACGCAAACGGCCGCGACTCCCGCTGTGCATGATGTTTCGACTGATACGAGCCCCGAAAATGAAGGTCCTCAGTATGTGGAACGGCAGGCGACATCTAATGAGGGGGCGACAGCAGACAGTGCAGAGGAGGCCAAGGGAACCGAAAGCGGTGCTTCCCCTGATGAGGATTCGCTCAACGGCAGAATACCAGATGGGCCCGAAGCGCAGCTTCTGCAGGAGTCTATGGCGATGGGCTCTAAGCCAACACCGCCTGTGATCGAAACGCCCGCGAAGAAAGCTTCGTCTCCCACGACACCTGTGCTACCCGCTCCACCTGCGGTTGAACTGAACACTACAGAGCCCACCACCGCAAAGGTCACTACACCAAGCGCGGCCCAGACTGCTGCTCCCACCGCCGAGCCGCCTACGGACCCGTTGGCCAAGGAAATTCCGGACAGCCAGGAGTCTCAGGCTCCTGAGAAGATGGATGTGGATCAACCAGCCGTGGACCAGTCTGGGGGAAAACCTTCCGTCGAGGTACAAGAGGCACCTGTTGGGCCCAATCATACAGAGACACAGACTCCTCAAGCTTCAATCCAGGCTCCACAGACGCCGCAGGATCCAGAGCGAGCGGTAACTCGAACAGCTTCTGGCACAATTCGACAGAAGTCGGTGGCCGAAATATTAGGAGGAACAAGCCCAGAGACTCAAGTGACTGCCAAAATGCCAGCAAGCCAACTCACACCTCTCACCTCCACGCCTCAGTCTCCGCCTTCGAGGCCAAAGACATTTGCCAACAAAAAGAAGGACAAGGAAAAGGCAAGAAACAAGCCTTCTGAAGTCGTGTTTGGTAAGCAGACCAAACGATCAGCAGACAAATCTTTGGTGCCTAGCCAGCAGAAGCAAAGCTTTCTGCCGACAGACGACTATTTTACACCACTCTTTGTGCAAGGTTTTACGCAAACATCAAAGTGGATGAAGCCGATAGAGGTCATCCTCAACCAGTCTCACAAAACGGTTTCCACCCCAGATGCCTACGTCGCCATACAAGACAATCAGGCATGTCGAGTGCTTCGTCGTGTGTATCACCTGCAGCAGCATGACAAATGGTCATTGCGACAGCCAAAGAGGTGTCCGGAGCCTATCCGCCCGGAATCTCATTTGGATGTGCTGCTTCAAGAGATGAAATGGATGAGAACGGATTTCCGGGAAGAAAAGAAATGGAAACTTGCTGCTGCTCGGAATCTCGCGCACGCCTGCGCCGAATGGGTTGCTTCAAGTGAGGAAGAACGCAAGGAGCTCCAAGTGCCCGCGTACATTCCGCCCAAGGAGCAGCCAGTCCAGCCTGAGACTGAAGGCGATACATCCATGGCCGACATCTCGTTGGATGTGATCGATGCACACGCAACTCCCGAGCTAGTACCTTCAGGTGACCTGGATTCACCCGAACACGTCGAAGAGTTACGGGAGGAGATTCTTGAGACTGTAGCCCCGTCTGCGATCTTTGCTCTGGAAGATGACGACGTTGTTTTTGAGCTTCGAAGTTCACCGACCGCAGACCAGCTGCTTCAGGAGCTTCCGATGTACGGAACGCCACTCAAGATCCCGGCGTTTGATTTCACTGTTCCCGAATTCGACCCCGATGCGCACTGGCGTCGCCCTGCTCTTCCTCTGAGCAAGTACGTGGAAGGCGAGATGAAGCTTTCTTCGGACGGACCCCCGAGAAAAAGGAGTCGATACCAGTATGAAGAGGAGGAGGAGGATGATGACGAAAAGGTCGTGTTCGGATCCCAGCCCACAAAGAGGATGAAGTTGCCACCGCAGAATGCTGATGTGGCCCTATTCAACCCCGAAATGAAGCCCATCAGAGACCGTCTCCACGCCGGCCACCAGTTCCGCCCGCCGGCGGAATACCAGATGCCCATGCAAAGCTTTTACGAATGCCGCAGCCCCTCGCAATGGACTTTGGCAGAGGATGACGAGCTGCGAAGCCTGGTTCGCGAGTACTCATACAACTGGTCGCTCATTTCCAGCCTTCTCACGCCTAGGTCCGTGTTCACATCCGGAGCTGAGCGGAGAACGCCTTGGGAGTGCTTCGAGCGTTGGATCAACCTGGAAGGCCTTCCGACGGACATGCAGAAAACGCAGTACTTCAAGGCGTACCAGAATAGGATTGATGCTGCCAACCGTGTCATCTTGCAGCAGAACCAGATCGCGCAGCAACAAGCTGCCGGCCAGGCGGCGGCGCCGACAACGCCGATCGCAAGACGCAGACCGTCAACGCCGCTCAGGGTTGAGCGACGACGCAATCAGAAGCATCTTACGCTGATTGATGCTATGAGGAAGCTGGCCAAGAAGCGCGAGACTGCGGCCCAGAAGCAGCAACATGCCACCCAGATGGCAGCCATGCGAAAGGCGAACGAGGCCGCGCAACCCAGAGGACCCACCAAGACACCTAGGGATTACAGCTTGATGAGGTGGGAGCGCGACCAGCAACTTGCCGAGAAGGTGGCCCAGTTCCATCAGCGCCAGGAGGCTCAGAGACGCATCACCATGCAACAACGAGGTCAGGTTGCCGCCCAAATCGCTACGACACCCGCCGCAGGCCAAGTACCGGCAGGCGTCGCGGGTCAAGTCAACGGCAACATGGCTCGTCCCAATATGCCTAATCAGCTCGCTGTTCCGGGCCAAGCAGGCCGAGGTCGCATGCCCATGCAGGCTCCGACCGCCAATATGGGCGGGGTTCCTGCTCAGATAAGTGGCCTTGTCCCTCCCATGCCAATGAACGGGGCGCAGACGGCTCAGATGCAGGCGGCTCTGCAAGCTCAGCATAGGATGCCGATGCCCAACCCTCAGCCTGATGTTAATCTCATGATGCAAGCGCGGCGTATCTCAGAGCAGCAGCGACAGGCTGTTCAGCTACAACAAGCTCAACAGCAAGTCCAGCAACAGGTCCATCAACAGCAGCCGCAGCCGCAACACCAGCAGGCCCAACAGCAGCAACAGCAACAGCAACCGTCTCAGCAGCAGCAGCAACAACAGCAAATGCACCAGGGAACACCGACGTCTCATGCGTCTCAGTCTCACTCTCCGCCAAACATGCGGCCCGCGTCAGTTAATGGCGTCCACGGCGCCAACGGCGTCAACGGTGTCAATGGCGTCAATGGTGTGAACCAGCAGAGCTTCATTGCCAATGCTCAGGCCAATGCCCAAGCCATGATGGCATTCAACGCTGCTAATGGTGGCGGGGTGGCAACGTCTCCTGCTGGTGGTCTCCATATGCCCAACGGCACTTCGGGCTCACCTCGCCCTCTCACACAAGTGCCGCCGGGCATTCAGCAACAGCTTAGCAACCTGGAAAACCAATATCGGCTCAAGAATCCGACTTGGACACCTGAGCTCGTGCGACAACATGCTACAGAACACCTTACTCGCCTGATGATTCATCA